GCTGCGCCTCCAATCTACTATCCCCACCCGTCATCAAGTAGCAGCAGTGGCTATGGCCAACACTCTCCCACGCACCACACACCCACTCACGCTCACATTCACACTCACAACCGTGTTGGTAGACCCTACTACTACCGATCAGGGGTATCAAGCAGACTAAAATTGTGCGGGGAGCAAACTGCGCGGGAGGGTAAAATGCGCGGGTGGGGCAAAATGCGGGGGGGGGGGGGCAAAATGCGCTGGGCGAATTCCGCAAAACGCACACACGAGCAGAATATGAGGCCCATTACACCTACGAGAACCACAATACCCAATATACCCTTACGTGGCCCCCACGAGCGCTCGGGTCATCGCTAGACCGCCACGAGCCTCGCACCGAGGCTGAAACGAGCCGGCATGCGAAGCGAACCTGTACTTGCTTGCTTTGGGCCGTTACGCCTATATCCGTCCGCGACATGCAGCGGAGGGGCATGAATGGACTTAGGGTAATATCCCACCTCTTACGAAACTCGGAGGAAGCTAAAAGAACCGCTTTCGGGGCTACCGGCCCGGAAATCACAGTTGGTTGCCACTAAGTGCGCCGGTCATGGGGCTAGAGCGCACAACCTCCTTAAAGCCACTTGCGTGCCCTAACCAACTAGGATGCTGGATACATTATGGATTTCTCTGGTTGCATTCTTTTTTTTCTTTTTTTTAAGGAAAATCAAGACCCCTTCTATTCTGGGGGGCATCAGTCTGGTTACTTATCACCGGCAAGCATGTTTCCTTAGCCCAGGAGGGGGAAAGAGGAAAGACGCAGGGTCAGCCTTACCCTTGCGTCACTAGCCACCTGACCAAGGGAGAGGCTGCTACGGACCGTCCCACCCCCCAAACAGCAGCTCTTCTTCAAGGGTTCTGTTTTCTGGGGCAAATTTCTGGGAAGAAACTGATGAGGCATCTTGGAAGTAGTTGTCCATGGCGTCATCGCACACCCGCAGATGACGCCCGAGGGACTCAGAGGGAGCACACTGGAACCCAGCACAGCGCACAGTTGGACAATGGTCTCCGAAGTCACCATGCAGTCAGGAGTGTCAAGCACTCTTTGTATGAGAAGCCTTTGTCTGCGCCTCAAGTCCCTCGACAGCTTCGCCTTCATGCGCCCGGATGCTCTCTCTACGACACAGTGGATGACGACGGCCAAAGCCGCGGTCACCACTGCCATCTTCTCCATGGATGTCAGCACAGCACGCCCATCTGCCCCACCGCCCTCCATTGTCGATGAACTTCAGAAAGACACCGTCACCAGCAACCCTGCCTCCTCGCCGTGCACGCATGTTCTCAACACCCACGTTAAAGCGCCACGTCGGCCACACTCTACGCGTCTTCACGGCGACCACGAAGGACAATGATACAACGCAGGACCTGTCTCTTATACACATCTAGATGTGTATAAGAGACAGGCGAGGTCCCTTGGGCAAAAGGAATCCGCGTTTCACGGAGAGGAGAGGGCACATGGGTAGAGAGACATTACAACCGAGAATCTGGATCGTGGCGGCACCCTATTGGCTGAAGGCCTCAAGCACATTTGATTT